GGCTGGCACAGCCAAGACCGAGGGGGGGGGAGGATAAGGCTTCCTGTCCTCCTCAGAGAACCTACGAGGCTCAGTCTGCTCCCTCCACAGCAGCTGCCAACAACCAAGGCGGGGGGCTTTCCAGTGAGTAACTTTTCAGCAGATCTCTCTCTCCCCCAAACTCCAGACTCACACGTGCAGCAGCCTCTGCACACGTGTTTCAAACCCAAGGCGCGTTTCAAAACAACGCTGAACTTGCAGCTTCCCCCCGAACTTACTCTGCCCACACGCTGCTCTACCTCAGCTGTCGCTAACTCCCCCTTCCCAGGTACTCACGTGAAAGGTAAACCCTCTTTGTCTCTCACACCCAGCATGCACTCTGCCACGAGATCTCATCATCAATACTTCCAAAAGTCTCACGACTCCTTTCAAACCAGCAGCACCTCTCAATTCGCTTGTCCACTCCAGCCCCTTACAGCCTGCTCTCAGCACAGCAAGCGGAGGGACCCATCCTGTTACATGTCACGCGACGCTACTTCACTACTCAAAACCCTAGGATAATTTCCAACTGTACTGAGACGCCATATAAACGGTCTACAATATCCAGCCCCATCACCGTCTCTCCAGCTTCACCTTCTACTACTCTCTTCGAGCCATGCTCAACTCTGCCTAAGGCTCACTCCCAACTCAGGACCTGAAACACCCAGACATTCTTCCCCTACTGCTGCAATTTACTCCCTCAGGTTTCATAAAACGGCCTTATCCACTCCGCCTAAGGCTGCCGCAGAAGCTCCCACCTACGCTCCCTAATCCTCCAGCTCCTTCTGCTTTTCCTTCCTGTCTGCGGCACTTATTTCTTCCACCGCTCTACACGCTGTGGTTTATCCAAGGCCGAGTAAACTCTCCTAGACCAAAAATGAATACTATTCTCCAGCGTTTCCCAACACCGGGATGACTTGGCACAGAGCAGTCACTCCGTAAATACCGGACGGAAGAATAAACAAGCCGAAAGGTCTGGGGGAGAGATCAGAGGTCCCTAGGCCTCAGTCCTGAGGCCCCAGGAGTGGTCAGCACCCTTCTGGTGGGGCGGGCCTGGACGGTTAAGTAGGTTCTGCTTACACACGGCCCGTAGAAGACGCTCCACTCACCTGGCCAAGGGACTCCCACCTGGCCCATCCGGGCTCCGGGCCGCACCGCGCGCCGCCCGCGTCTCCGCCTCTGGGGGTCCTTCGGGCTCCGAGTCGGACTCGGAATCAAAGCCCGAGGCCAGGAACTCGTCCACCGTCAGCTCCGCCAGGCGCCTGCGGGCCATGCCGTTGGAGTCACGACTCCCCGCCAGCCCGGTATGCCCCAGCCCGGCCGCCCCAGGAACACAGAGGCGCAAGCGGAGCCTCTCTGGATGCAAGCGCCCGCCGGGAGGCCTGATCGGAGCCTCAACTCACCGCTTGCGGGTCCACGCGGCCGCCATAACTGCAGGCCCGTAGCGTGCGCCCCACTTCCGGCCCCAGCAGGCCTTGCGCCAGGCGCACTTCCTGCAGGCAACCCCGCCCCTGGCCCCGCCCCGCCGCGCCCCTCCAGGTGGCTTTAAGGTTCTCCAACCTTGGCTGCGGCGGCGTCCAGACGGGAGGGCGCGTTCAGATCTCTTTTTGGGCGGGAGGCGCTCGGCCTCCCAGGGTGGCACGCGGGACGAAAGCTCCCTGCGCAGGCCTGGTTCAGTCACGGCTCCCGCTCGCTTCCGCTGAGGGACAGACTGCGGAGCTCCAGCACCCGGCAGGACTGCGTAGGGCGGAATCCCGCCATTCCGCTCACAAATCTGTGCCGTTTACCAAAAAAGGCACTAATAACGACACAGACCTGGGGGAGGGCCGGGCCGGGTCACCGTCGCCCGGCGCAGCCCGCGGGGC